AGCACATGCACAGAATGGGGTTTGTGTGTGTAAATGTTGATCTTTCTATTCATTGTGATTTTTATTCAGCATCTGAATCCTAGCAAATTTTCCCCCATAAGGCCTTAGTTTCATTTTCAAGGACTCAAATCCTGTTGAAAATCAGATGAGTTTGGATATTGAGAGGTAAGTTCCAGCATTCCTGACTGTACAGTTTTAGAAGGTTTTGTCTTTTCCTGTGGCAGAGTAAGGGACTAGCAGAGCTGGCAAAAGGAACCAGAGGCTTGCCCACCAAAACCAACTGTCTAATCCTTTCTTTAAAACTGCTACTGATATATTTGGAGCTGTTTTCTCAGTCCAGGAGCAGTGGTACTTACAAGATATGATCCGTTTCTGCTGGTACAGACAGAAACTTTCAGCAGATGGAGGTGGTGAGCAACAAATTCTGAATCACTGGTTCAGCAATTGCCCAGCCTTTTCTTTTAACAGCTTTGATTTTCTGTATTGCTTTGACTATTCACTACCTATAAATAATGCCAGTGAAAATAAATTCACTGAGTCTTATTTACATTATGGAGACCTTTGGACCCCTTTGTACTCTTTGAGGCCATAAGATCTCTAAAGTCCATAATGGAAATGAGAATAGGCCTTTAAAATAGTTTTAATTACGCAGTTTAACCATCTTAATTAAAACATTTCAAGAGCAGCGGTGTTTTCCTACCAGTAGTGATATTTCAAGTAATTTTTCCTGTGTATTTCCCATCCTGGGGAAAGCTGGGCTACTTGAGGACAGGCAAACACACCAAGAGGGCAGAGAGAAATAATTCCTGCAGAGAAGAGGATCTGCTCATGTGCAACACATTGGTTACAACTGCTGTGTGCCAAAGGATTGTCTGGTGGGATGGAGGACACGGCAATGCTGCGGCATTTGCTGGAATGCACAGGCTCCCCATAATGTACATTTTGTTTCTGCTCCATCTCACTGCAGAGGCTAAAATAAACTCTGCCATGTTTTATCTAGCAGAAAAGTGGTCTTTGCTTTTCCTCCTGCCTCTGGCTGGTTTCAACTCTGTTCTGTGCAGGGCAGGAATGCTGTGGGTTGCTGCTGTTGGCCGTTCCTCTTTGGGTCTGCCTTGTTGGCCACTGCCTGAGCTCCAGAGGGCCTGACCTATGCTTGGCTGCTCCAGGGTTGGTGTTTCACACTGCTGCAGATACTGAGCGTTCCAGAAACTGCCTCTTACATCAGCCAGAAACTCTCACTTATGCTGTTATCTTTCACAGCACCTGTTATTAGAGCCTCTCTTTTCCACTCAGGTTTTCTTTGAGCAGTGTGGCAAATAAAAATAATCGGTTGCAGTGGTAACAAAACAACACACAGTAGGACCTTGCTCCCTGCAGCCTGGAGCCTGCTTCCCATGGATATATCTTGAATCACTTTGTTATGCCTCTTACCTCGATGATAAAACTTCTATTGTGCATTTCTGATAGTCTAATTGTTGTATATGCATGTATTTAGCATATTCTCAGGCTCCAATCACCGGCAGCACCACAGGTTCTTTAAATGTTACCCTTGAAAACTTCAGTGTCTCATAACTTCTTTTTATACAACTGCTGATGTCTTTGGGAGACATTTATTTGTTAATAAGATACAGATATCATCTCTCACTGTTACCTAGTCTGGCATTCACAGTCATCTCAGGTGCCTCTCCATCATTTCATTTGCACAGACACAGTAGTTAATACTATGTACTTCTCTACTTGTAATATTCTTCTAAGTTACAACTTTTAACAGATTTTCCACCCAGCCAGATGTTTCAGACAAAATTCAGGGAAGTTTGAATAATCATAGAAAATATTACTAAAAGGGGTCTTGGTGAAGTTTGCATCTGATATGGGGTTTGCTTTTCATGTAAAGGCTTGTCACGTCTGTGACATGCAACACCTCAAAAATAATTTTCTGCTTGTCACTTGCTATCATATGTTTGTGTGGTGCATTATTCCTGCCAGGTGTGGCACTACTAACATTTCTACATTAAAATGCATCTTTTTAAGAACATTTCTTGTTTTATTTTTCTATGAGTTAACCCCTGATTCTAATCAGCCCTCCAAAGTTGTCACCTGTAAATTTAAACAACATCCAAACAAATAATTAAAAACTCTTTACTAATTCAGACCTGAGAGGTCCTTCTGAGAGGAACAGACCCCTGTATCTGACTGTTTATATTTTTGGAAATTCCCTTTATAGGCTTGTTGATTTCCTACTTCCTCTAGGAATCTTTTTTGCTCCCCTCTTGATATGCATACCTGGATGCCCCTCGTCTTGTCTGGCATAATAGATCCTGGCACTGACCAAAAGTATGTTTTTTTTCTGTGAAGTCCTTGCACTTTTCTTTTTATTCTATTCTACAAACTTTCTTTCCAGAGAGCCCTATGCTTTCATTTCATAAAATCACAGGAAAAATTAGATTGAAAAGGACTTTTTGAGTTATTCCATACATCTTCCATTTTCAAAGCAAGGCTGACTTCAAAGTTAGACCCAACTGGGCCCTCGCTCTGTCAGGTTCTGAGGCTCTCCAAAGAAGAGGCTTCCACAGCCTCCCTGGATGACCTGTTCCAGTGCTTAACCCTGCTTGTGGTGAGAAGCTTTCTTCCTTAAGTAAAAGAAAATAAAGATTCAATTATCTCCCCTCTTGATATGCATACCTGGCACTGACCAAAAGTATGATTTTTTTCTGTGAAGTCCTTGCACTTTTCTTTTTATTCTATTCTACAAACTTTCTTTCCAGAGAGCCCTATGCTTTCATTTCATAAAATCACAGGAAAAATTAGATTGAAAAGGACTTTTTGAGTTATTCCATACATCTTCCATTTTCAAAGCAAGGCTGACTTCAAAGTTAGACCCAACTGGGCCCTCGCTCTGTCAGGTTCTGAGGCTCTCCAAAGAAGAGGCTTCCACAGCCTCCCTGGATGACCTGTTCCAGTGCTTAACCCTGCTTGTGGTGAGAAGCTTTCTTCCTTAAGTAAAAGAAAATAAAGATTCAATTATTGCAACTTGTGATTTCATTGTGTGTCCCTTGGGGAAGCCTGGCTCTACCATCCCGTGTAGCTGTTGTGAGACTGCTGGAGAATTTCCACCTTCTTGGTTTTCTTGTATCCCTTTTAACCACCCCTCTTCCCACAGCCTGTGCTGTGTGTCCTGTGTTCCAACCTCTCACTGTCCCAGTGGCTCTCTGCAGTGATTATTGTTGCTAAATTCACCTTTGTTTCTAATATGAAGGATTAATTTGAGACTATAGAGTGAAATGATCCTCCTGCCCTTTATTTTTTACTCTTTGGGAAAGGTATTATCCTCCTCTCATCCTGCATCTTTTCAACTGATGCAGAGTTGGTATTTTAGATTAAAATGAGCTCTGAGAGTTTTCTCTGCTTATCTGTTTGGAGACTTCTCTTCATTCTGCTGCTTTTCATACCAAAGTTGTTATTTCCCTAGGAAAAGTGAGCTTCACGGAACCCTTTCAGGATAGAGCACAGCTGTCTGATCTTATCTGGGCCTGACAGATGCCTACCCTTCCCACCAAGCTCCACTGTCTTATTGAAAGAATTACCTGTTTCTGCAATCTTTGCATTTAAAAATGATCTGCATACATATGCTTGGAAAGTAGGGCTTATTTTAATAATGTGAAGGAAACACAATAAGATGTTGGAGAGAGATGCCATAACAAGTGGAATTACTTTTATCACTTCCTTGTTCCATCACCCATTTCAGTGTAATTGTCTTATTTGTATTGGCTTCTCCTTTGGAAGAACACATAGCAATTTCCAAATGTTTAATTAAAACCTCACAACGCTTCTGTGATGTGAATGCTGTAAATGAAAGAGAGTAGATAGAGCCTTTTTAAAGCAACTTTTGTCTTAAGTATTTGTTACATTTTATCTATCACCAAAACAGGGTGCACCATAGCTTACTTGTATCTAGATATCAAATCCTTGCTAAGAGGGAGATTTCTTGGCACCACAGGGAATATCCTCCATGGTGGGCTACTGGTTACTCTTCTTTATTCATCCATGCCTTCTCTTTCTCCTTCCTCTCTGAGGAAGTCAAACTCCTTGCTGTACAATGTCAAAAGTGGGATGAATCTTCAAGGTTCCAAAAACTTTGTACTATGTTGTAACAGCTAAAAGATTTCACTTGAAATAAGAATCTGGGCTGCCTAGATATGAATGTATATTCAAATTTTGAGAAGGTTTTTAAAGAAATACATCCACAGCAGCCAGTTTAGTTCTTCTCACTATTAAGAAATGTCACTTTTCCACCTAAGCTTTTATGAAACTCTGCAGTATTTTTTATCCCAGTAATAATTTTCTTTTCCTCCCCCATAATCCTCATATTGATTCATTGCAACCATTTTTCTTCAACCTTCAAAGGATTCCTGGTGTAAAAGATCTCCCAGATCTCTTGCCTTTGTAGCGTGCTATTTTAGCTAATTTCATATACATTCATTCTCCTCACCTTGTATTATCCAGTAGCTCTTACTATTAATCAAGACATCATTGTCTTTTTTCAAAGGTGTTATTTAGGCAGTCAGTTTAGGTTTGATATAAATTTTGGTGATATTCTCTCAATGAAGTGTCAACAATCTCACAGTGCAGCAGGCCAAAGAACAGAAACGTGCCAGGGACTGCTCACACTCTGGGCTCTTTTGTCTGCCCTCATGAACTTCCACTGATGAATCATCCTCTTCCTTTCTTCTCCCTCCTTTTTGCCCCATCCTTTCCCTCCCTCCATCTCCTCCTGTGTTTGGCACTTAGGATATTGCACAGGCCCTGAGCAAAGGAGCTCACTTTTCATTTTCCCAAGCTTTCCACCCACTTCCCTTCTCTCCTGCCAATGCACACACATGGTGCATTCATACACATCAGTATGCTGCTGAAATCTTGGAGAGATAGATTTGAAAAAGGTAAAGAAAAACATTAAATCTTGAGATGGCTATAGAAGAGAACTTTCATCTTAATGTTTGCAGTTTGTTGTTTAAATTAGTAGCAAAAATACTGTTTATTTTAGCAAATATAATCACATTTTGCAAACAAATACAGATTTTCGTAAAGAAGCAGATTTTCCATGAAAGGGAACTTCTGTTTTGTAGAACAGAAGTGAAAATAGAAGCTAACATATGAAACTACTTTGACTTACATTATGATTAATTCATAAATAACCAAAAACTATGTTCAAATGCTTCTTTAAACTTAACCAGTAAAATCAAACAACATGATTTATTCACTTTGCTTGGTGCTGTTTTTATACAGTGATGTAGCAGGCTAAGTAAAATGATTTATACAAAGTACCATGCTTGGATTATTTTAACAATAATTTAATAGGATCTGAGACCAAATGGTGTGTATCTCACTGTTTCTGCTTTATTCATGCATCATGTAAATTGAATAGCCAAGTGTTTACAGGAAAACAAAGCTGGGATTGGCATCAGGCATGACTCTGTTCATACACACAGAACAGAATGCACTCACAAATAAGTCAAACCCCCAATATCTGCAGAACTAGAGGTGGTTTGACACCTCTGGAAAAACTCACATTATTCCAATGCCTCACCATCAAGTAAGGTACTTGCTCTCAGACACCCTCAAGATTTTGACTTGTATATTTGTGCATGCCATGAATAAAGCTGCTCCATGATTAAAAAAGTAGGACTGATAAGACACACAATCTCATACAGTAAAAAGTCGGTAAAATATTGAATGATGATGAGCTCTTTATATGTTCAATGTGAGTCCTCAATGTATCTGTGTCTCCAGAAATTAAATTCTTTTTCCCTTGATTTATAGAAAACCCATTACAGAGTAACAGCTCGATCTTGAAGGTTTTTTTTTTTTTCTTTTTCTCCTGGGGTTAGAGAAGTTTTACATTACAAATAAATTTCGGCAAAGTGAAGGATTTGTCTCCAATTTTCCTCATTTAAATACACACACTTACAAATACATAAAAGTTCCTCAGAGAAATCACGGTTATAATTGCTTTGGATAGACATTATCTGTCTATACCATAAATATTTGGGCCACAGTGGTCTGGGGTCTAATTTCTGCCACGATCAATCAGTGTTGCTGAAACTCCAGTATTATTTAGTAATTGAAACCCTGAGAAAATCTTCAAGCCAAGTTGAACTCAACAGTTTATCCTGAGTAAAGAGAGAAGAATTTAATGTTACACTGAGCCACGTTAAACAGGAGAGAAGGCCAAGTTGTTAGGGGCTGCTTCTGCTTTTGTCATTGGAAAGCATTTTGTATAAACCCTTCACAAAACTGGGGAGATAAAAGCCCTTTTAAAGGGAGAACACCAAATTCCTGTAGGATTGTAGAAATTATTCATGAGAGTTTCAAGTCATGAGATTTCCGCTCTTTGGTACAGAAGTGGACTTCACATTTTGTACTCATTTCCTTTAACAACTGAGTATAAGGATATCTCATTAAATCCACATATACTCCATTTGCCAAGAGCTACACTAAAAACTCTTAAAACTGCAATAAAATCACAGCATTTTGAAAACCTGAAATAAATAATTTTATTGTCTTTCTTACAAGTTCCAAAATTCAGAGCATACTCAATGAAAAATTTTCCTAAAACTGTTAGAAACTGAATTATGTTTTGTCATTTTAGGGTATAATATGAAATGATACAGCTAAATGAATAAATTAGTGTTAATTGTCTATAAAGAGGTCAGATACTTTGGTTTAATGGGTTCATAAGAATGTAGGGCCTAACTATAAGATCAGCTTTAATTGTAGAGTAAATAACTTTTTAAAGGACAATTTTTTTCAAGTTGATTAAAAAAGTCCAGGAAGATATGTTTGTAGAACTCTATACCCACACACAGAGGCCAACACAAGACAAAAATTAAAAAAACAAAACAAAACACTTTATGCAAAACTGTAAAGAGTTCCAGCTTCGCAAATCATTGCCAAAACAAACAAAGACCATGATCTGGCAGCAATTGAAAGTTCCTCATTAAAAAAAGATTAATGATAGAAACCTTCTAAAAGCAAAAATCTCCTCTCAATCCAGGAAAACACAGCCTGTGGCTTTTAATAACTGAAGAGACTGATGTGATGTGGAATCTCTAGGGCTTTGCTTGGTATTTTTCTTTGTTGGAATTCAAAGGAAGAGCTTATTGCATTTTTGTAGGTACAGCAGATTTTTCCTCATTGTGCTACAGAAAAAGTGGCCACTGTGTGTTGGGCAGGGGAGAAGGGAAGCTAAAAAGGTGAAGTTGTATAGGAGTCCACCATGACTTTGCTCTTGCCAAGTTCTTCATAACGTCTGCCAGGATTTGCTTTGCACTTATGTAGGGCAAGAAGAGAAAACTCTGTACAGAAAAGAAAGTGAGCAACACTGTGCTGCTTCTTCAGCCCTCACGTTTGGCCAGAGCAGCAAGGCTGGCCAGGAGCACAGATGGCATCAGGGAGGGAAAAAGGAGACAAGTTCTCCTTGCAGCACTTCTTGGAGTGGCACAGTTACCAAGCTCTCAAAGAGTACAGAGTGCCTCTCAAAGTAAAAAATTAATATTAATAAAAGCCCAATTAATTATATTATAAATAGCTATTAAAAACATTGAAAAATTAACCTCTGTGTTTCTTAGAATCCAGCATTACTGGGCTTAAAGATTTTAAATGCTGCTTCACTAATGTCCAAATCTGAAAACAGAATATGCTTATTTGCCTTTTAGAGTTACTTCTGAAAGAAAATAAATACAAGTTAGTAAACTGAGGGGAGATAAACAACCTCAGTGATGTACAGGGCACAATTATGGAACGAGCTGGGTGATGGGTAAAAGCCCTTGGGAAACCCTCCTTGCCAGACAGATTTAGGAATATCCCGTGCTATTTAAAGACTGGCAGGACTCACACTGTTAATAAGAAAAGAGCATCGCTTACACTGCACTTCTCCCCTTTCCTCTGCTGTGCTGCCCGTGTCCCGTGCCTCTGTGCCTGTGCACAGCCAACGGTGCTGCTTTCACTGGAAGTTTTCCGACTTTCTGTGAACACCTCAAAATAATCTCCCAGCATCGTTGAGACCTCTCAAGCATGTCAGCTGTCGGCATCAGCCCCTGTCCCCAAGGCCTGGCGTGCAGCTGGAGGGGTGGGCGGCAGCGCTGCGTGCAGCCCGGGCTGGGCTGGAGGCGTAGGGCACGGCGTGTTCATGACAGCTTCCCCTGACAGGGGACACTGTGTGTTTGGAAGTTCAAGTTTCATCATGCGACACAGGTTTAGGAGGCATCAGGATCAGGGCTTGGCCGCTGAGGTTTAACATTTCTCGCGCTAAAATAGCTGCAGCGCCAGGTGCAACCGTCTCAACAGAGGCAGTGAATTTAATTTGCAAAACGCCCTGAAAAAAACTCTCACAATATGAAACAAAGTGCATAACCTTAAAAAGTAACTCTTTTAGGACTGTGCTATCTAAATGTAAACATGCAGCACGAGTGAGGCGATGTTACCCAGAGCAGTGGTACAGTCAGAGCAGGAGTGGTGCGAGACCTCAGCCTGTTCAGAGTCCGGTTACGCCTGCAGCGGGTGATGGTTTCTCTCTTTCTCGATGCTGTTCAATGGATAAAAACACGGGTTAGGAGGCACCAAGGACAGCACTGAACCCTTGGCCGGGTCAATCCCAAACCTGCGGGGGATACCAATGACCTCCCCAACAGAGGCGCTCGGAAGGCGGCCCTTACCCGCTGCCGCTGGTCGCTGAGGCAGAAGGTGCAGATGGAGCGAGGCGCGGAGGCACCTGGCGGCGAGCAGGGCTGCGGGCAGGGCTGAGCGGGCTGCGGGCAGGGCTGCTCAGCGCCCACCGCCTCGTCCTGCCGGCGCTGCTGCAGCAGCAGCACGTTGGCCAGGTGCGAGATGTAGCTGGACGCCAAGCGCAGCGTCTCCACCTTGGAGAGGCGGCGGTCGGCCGGGCGGGTGGGGATGAGCCGGCGGAGGGCGCCGAAGGCCGTGTTGACGCTGTGCGTGCGGTCCCGCTCCCGCGCGTTTGCCGCCGCCCGCCGCCCGCCGCCGCCCCGCG